TCTCTGATGGTTACTTTATTCTTAGTTTTTTTTTTCTAACTTTTTGTTTGCTTTTTATTATTTGCACACTGAACACTTTTTATGGCACAGGAGCTGAGTGTGTGAGTCCTGATGGTGAATCCAAGGGACGAGCGCACACAACCACCGCTGCCGCAGGACGACAGCCAACTGTGCGATGAGCCCGAATACCGTTGCCACGACGAAGAGTCCTGCCCTCGTCCTGCCGTTCAGCTCGAACTCGAACCTGTTCGGTTCGCTTGCAGACAAGGACTCTCCTCTACGATGAAGCCAGCCTGAACCAAATCCACCCACACATCCCTATCCCCCGCATCCATCTGCAGCATATCCTTGTTTGCCGCGACACTTGTTACGGTTTTTGCGAGGGTGGATGGGCACGTCGTCCTGGACGAAGTGTTCGGGCTTGTTTGCTCGCAGCAACGGCAGCGGCCCTCGTACAACGTGTCGTATGCGCACTTTTGCGGCATTTTTAACTGTTTATTCCGGGTGCCCCCAGCTACCAAAAAAAAAAAACGAAAACGACAACAAAATAAGGGAAAATACGGTACGTATGGTGGGGTTGTGGCGGTAAACAGGCCTTGTTCGAACCAGACAAGCGACCACTTCAAATTTATCCTTTATCGATACTCATGCATTAGCAATCGGCAAAGTTTTGGTTTCTATTGACTGTCAAACAGAAGCTAACTACATTTCTATAACAAAATATTTGTGTTGCAGTATCTATGGGTCACTTAAGAAAGCTTTTGATAAGCACTTTAACATTTAACAATCAAATATTAAAATAAATATAAGTAATTTCATTCTTAAACTTAACTTAAAAATGTTAATAATCAGTTAACAAGATTTAGGAGATTTAAGCGTAAAGCATAATGTTTGTGAGATGATGTATAAATTGAAGTGTTTTTAATTAGTTAAAAGCAATTATTTTGTCCAATAATATTATGCGGGTTAAAGGCCGCAACCCCTTTTCCTTTGTGGTTTTTCAGCGCAGCTGGTTTTTGGCGTTTTAATTAAGGTGGACATTTTTAGTATGAAAACATTTTATTATTTTTTACCCTTAAAGCAACATCTATGACATTTTAATTATTATTTTTCAAAGAAAAATAAGTAGTACTATTTGTTACAACAAAAAAATTCGATTTATTTATTTAGATTAAAACATTAAAAAAATGTGAAAGGAAATTAGCAAATTAGCATTATGGCCACTTATATGTCTCCTTTAAAATACTCAAAACTAATGCTGGAAATCCCTAACTTGACTAAGCGTTATATTCATTATAGAACTGCATCTTAAGAGTGATTAAAAATTATGGTAACCCATTATAAAAGAGACAATCCGTTTTAGGAGCTTAAACAATAAGAAGATATTCCGTAGTTTATTCCAGTTTAGACGATTTAACAGAAAATTTGACTGCATTTTTTCAACAGCCTGCGGCAGGAGCAACAGCAAACAATTGACAATATCAGGTAGTGATTGGAAAAGGTCTGTCACTATTATTTAGCAATCTAATCGATTTTGGGCGAACATGAACTATGCGACTATTTGCGAACTCCACGGGCATATTTACAATGGTGTGCGAACTCACGTGAGAGGGTCAGGGTATGGATACAAGAGTGTGAGTGTAGAGCTTAGTGATTTGGTAATTGCAGCATCAACAATGATGTCATAGCCCATGCAAGTTTAATACGTTGCCATTGGTGTTTTTGAGTGTTTGATTGTGTGTGTTTGCGGGTATGCAGTGGCCATAATGTGCCAGCGGGACAATTAACGGCAACCGGCCAGTCAGCCAGACAGTCGGGCTATGTAAATACGGCCAACAGTCAATTAAATTCGAACTCGGGAGTGTTAAAGCGCTGAATCGCTGGCCGGCTGGCCGGCTGCCCGGGTGGCCACATGGCCGGCTGGATGGCCCGAAGCCAGTTGGGCTTCGCATCCTTAAACCAGGCGGATAAACACGTCTACATATGCCCCGCCAATTTGATTACACTTTTTCCACTTTTTTCCCAGCCGAACAAAATTTGTAATTCAAATTAAAAGCGCAAATAGTTTTTTTCAGCAATCACTGGCGGGGAATGGGAGGGGGTATAAAAAAGGAGACTGCACTGGGAAAAATGTCTGGACTTATATTTTTCAAAACTCGTAATACACTCTTTCAACTTTGAAAACTAGTTCAGGCAATCTGTGTTGCAAAATGTATAAATTATATCCCGCTTGGGGTCGATTTACCAGCTTTCACGATGAGTTTTCCTGAGAGTGTGTGGAGTCTGGGGGACAGAAACTGTGGCAGGCAACAAAAGGCATACCAAATTACTGGTGAAGCGTCTGTCTCAGCCGGGTCCTGTGCCCTGCGCTAGGGAAGAGGCCGAGCCGAGTCCTTGCAAAAGGCAAATGAAACGCAGTCAGTGGAAATGACGGCGCTCGGCGCGAGAGAGAAATGAAGGCAACTAAAAAATGCCAAAACAAAAATGGAAATAGAAAATGCCGCCACATCTGAATGCTGTGGAGCAACAATGTTGCATTCCACTTGGGCACTTTGTTAGGACTGTGTATACTATATATATATATACTATACTATATATATGTATATGTGTATGCAGCAACAGTCATATTGTGTGTGTGTGACCACACAAGCTGGAGAAGGAGATCAGAGGGCTAAGGGTGATTTTAGCGGGCTCTGGGACAAAAGGGCGAAAAGTAAAAGCCACGCAGGCATTTGGCACGGAAAATATTTTAAAATTCCAGCAACGAAAGTGCAGACAAAACTCTTAAATGACGAGCAGCACGTGCCCAAATAAAATGATGCGCATAGTTTGGGGCATATGAGTCGAGGGTCTCCTCTCTCTCTCTCTCTCTTTCTCTATATATATTTATATATATGGGATTATGTGGCCTTTTTTTGGTCTTCCTGGTTCCTTCAACTCAATTTCACACACACTCAGCCGGCTCATCCTGGCTGGCTGGCTGAATATCCCGGTAGGCTTTTTGCTGACTTTTCAATGTGTCAAATCGTGCAGCATTAGATTGGACTTGCCAAAGCCAAGATGCTGGCAGTCTGCGATGCAGATGGGTGACAAGTGCATATGCCAGCGAATCGAAAATGGCTTATTTATCCTGATATATTGATAAACATCACTGCCATATGGCAATGGCCATGGCAACGGGAACCCAGTCCCGAGGATGCCATTCAAATTGGTTATAGAAGGAGTTGGATTTTCCATTTACCAAACTTTCCTTTACTATACTGTTAATAATTTACAAACCCATTTAAATATTCCAATTTCGAAAAGGTATGCAATTAAAACATAAGCATATGCTAGTCCTTAAAGGTACTTCAAGGGATTAAAATGGTTACTATGGAAATTATTAAACTATATATATAATCAGAGATGATTAAAGTTAAAAGTAAAAACAAAATCTGAAGCTGATACTTTACTCCCTTTTTTAAATTAAACAATATTTGTCTCCCTTCTCTGAAAGTGTTTTCATCCATTCACTGATTCAAATTTAATATGTAAAGTGTTAAAAACACTAATTTAATTTACTGGAATATCTCAACCGATACGCTTCTTTGTGTTTTTAGCGGTCAAATTGACAATCATGCAAATGAACAGTCGCGTGGGTGTTTTTATAGCCGAAGATTATCGGCGGAGGAGCGTAAATCAGATCTCATTACGTAGCTGGGATATCATAATAAACGGCAGCTAATTAAAGTTCGGCCAATAATTTGCACATTTATGCACTCGAAAGGCGTTTTTTCGCATTCGATTTAATTTAAGAAATTTGCATAAAATAAACATTGCAGATTTTACGAGAAATCACGCAATATTTATGCAATCTAAAATAGCACGAAATATAAGAGGGGGAGTAGATATCAAAAAGAGACAACAAATGATGGAATAAATGCAAAAAATTAAAATAACAAAAACTCGTTTGCATTGGCCGGACGGATGTCTAGCAATAATCAATCAAACGTGAAATAAATGAAAATACTCCGAATAAATCCAACAACATCGCATCGGAATCGGAATCGGAATCGTTTGTCGTTTGTCAGGACTTCTTTTTTTGTATTATTTTTATTTGGTTTTGTTGTCTTGGCTTGCTGCTCTTTAATACGACTTCCGGAGCCCTTAAATTTTAGCATAACAAACAAAATACTTTCCGACCATTTCCGCTGGCTTGTTTCACTGACATTTAAGCGACACAAAAAGGGGAAACTGTTTGGGGAAAAAAATATGCACAAACTGCAAAGTGCAGTAAAAAATTTGTTGAAATATGCGACGAAACGCGGAGTATCCTCGCCATGTCCCGAAATGCCGAAAAAAAAATAAAGAAAAGGAGCCAAACTGCTGGGCGTTTTATTTGCACTTCAATTTTGCCCTCGACGACGACCGACGGCGCACTTTATGGCGATTGCAATCCCAGCTGCACTCGCCTAACTGCACTGCAGTGCAGTCTCGAAGTCTTCGAGTCCTGTAGCAGTCCAAGGAGTCCTGAAGTCCTGAAGTCCTGCAGTTCTGAAGTCCTGGCTCCTGACTCCTTGCCACTCGCTAGACAAGTGCTACTTACGGCTATTTTATGTTGGAAAATGTCCTTTGGAGCTTATCAGCATTTAACATCGGACAGAAGTCAGCCCAAAAATAATGGGCGCAAAAAGCAAGCTGCAGGTAAAATGCACGGAGCGAAACGAAATAAAATCATGTGACACTTTGTGGTTAATAACGCCCAGCTATGCATATATATATGAGGTACCGGGTCCATTGTTTTCCTCCTAGAGGGAAAGAAACCCCGAAAAACCAGGACAGCTCACACAACCAATTGGTTTGGGGGTGGCGGTGATTTAAATGCAAATTTATCGCCGTGCAGCAGTAAAAAAAAAGCCAAAAAAAGAAAAGAAAAATCATAAACGACCCCTCACAAAATATAAATAAATGGACACACATGCAAAACTCAAAAACAGAAAAAAAGGAAGAAAAACTGAGGATGTAATAATAATATTTACAAAATGTCTGTTTGCGCGACTTCTGACGAGAGAACATTTTAATTTTTTCCCATTTGCATTTACATTTTGATTAAACGATTTGCATAAAGCTGCACCAGCACCCGCCCTGCTGCCATTTAGAGCCAAACTGATTAATTTATTGAAAGCAATTCGTGGCTTAATCAGATCATAATGCCAGACTACTTCGATTTACCGCCGACTTGCTGCATTCTGTACAAGTTAAACAGGTATCGAGTGCGTTGATAGACGCGGTTGTGTATGCAATATTGCCGCCAAATCAGCTCAATGGCCTTCCAGGCGTAGTAAATCACCAGGGTTAGCACCAGCACCAAAATCCCAGCGCAGCTGTAGACCAGTGTGATCCTCCCCCAGGACAGGTCCATCTGATACATCCTCTCTCGCGCCTGCAACAATATGTAGCAGTAGCCCAGCGAGAAGAGCGTCACGTAGAAGTAGATCGAGTGGTAAAAGTCCGCCAGCCTATTCAGCATCCAATTTGTGTAGTCCAGACTCATGGTCAAAGGTTCTTAGGTGATAAAAATAGGAAATATAGGATTAAAGGATTTTATTTCAAAACTCTTTGCAGATACAAAGTTCTGGAAGTTGAACGCAAGGTTAACTGCGTTAGGAGGCTGAAAACTATTTAAAAAATGTATAACTTCATTTCTCTTTTTAATCTATATATCAAATCTAGTTTTTATTATGGAAATTACTTTCCCAATGTCAACTTTCCCAAAGACCCCTAGCACAAACCTTCAAATTGGGGAAAAGTCGTGCTATAAAAGACGTCAGTATAATTTATTCTTAATTTTCAAACTTATGTTCATCTTTAACGTTATTGTTCCCCTGGGAAGCAGTACTCCTGCTCTTGTTTTCCCTTTCTCCTGAACTTGACGAGCTAACCAAATGCGAAATTTCGCACAAAAGGCCGCACTCTCTGCTCATCGTTAGTCATTCCCATGCTCCCCCTTCTGGGGAGCGGAATTGTTGTTTAACTTTGCCATTTTTCAACAACTCATCAATCTGTTCGATCTGCTGTGCTGCCATAGTTTGCCTGCCAGGCTCAGTTTCTCCAGCTCCTGCCAGCTAGTTCGCCCCGAGTGCCTCGTCCTTCGTCCTGCCGCCGGTTAACGTTTCTAACTTATGCGAGGCACGCACTCTCACCGCAAATGCAGCAGCATCAGTCTTCGCCTGCAGCACGAACACAACCTAGGATTTGCTTTCATGCACTGAAATAAGAAAATATTTGTATTTTTAAGAAAAATTAACTTTTATGCTTTTAAGCGAGAAACAGACAAAACTAGGAGTTAGTCTTAAAGGGTCTCAGAATCCTTTTTACCTGCCACATAGTTGCCTTTTAAGGCATTATGTATCTTATGTGTAGGCTTTGTAATAGTTGTTATTATAGAAACCGAATTTTTTCAGTGTATTTCTATGAACAAATATGTTTGGCTGATTTGAAGCGAAAGGAGCTCGCTGCTGATGGGCCTCAAACTGGCAGGAAAAGCCAAACCAAACTTTTTTATTATGTATTTGGCGCTTTTATTATTCATCTATCATCGCTGTTATAGTTTAATAGAAAGTTTAAAAGTCATCATCGTGGCATCGGCATTGCCAATGACTTGCCAAACAGCCCGTGCACGCCATATGCTCGCCTCCACTCCGAAAAACTTCAGTTTCCGGTTCCCATTCGGTCTCATTCCCCACATGCTGATGCTGATGCTGGCCAAAAGGCATTTGGCGCGTCCTGGCCTTCAGCCAGCTCAGACGGCAGATAAACAATTAAATTTATGCAGCGAACGTTTCATTAGCATTCGAGGACTCCTCGCGGAGCAGCCAGCAATCCTTGTTTAGTTTGGCCATTCTTTCGGGTCGGGCCGTTAGTGTTAATTAACTTGGCGCGATTTCAAGTGGCCAAAACAAACGAAATGGGTATCCCGCACTTACACTTTGAACTTCCTTTGGCAACATCGCATGGTCGATATCTATGCATATTCGTTCCCTTTTCCGAAAGATATAGATGGGCTTAGTTTTGCAAATTCAATAAAACTGCAAACTGACTAGGGAGACGTTAATAGGAGGAGCAGCGGCCACGCATGCAAAAAACCAACACAACCACAAAGTGTTTCTAATAAATTTTGCAACAGCAACTACAACAAGTGTTTAAATTTATCGCTACTGCGATTTACTCTCCCCGTATGACCCTCGTTACCCGTTTCTCTGCCAGTTTCCCTCGGACTGAATAAACAATATTTTATATGAGCCAAGAGCCAAGGGGTCCGCTCGTCCAAACTCGCTTAACCATTGCACTGCCCGTTGGCGCTAACTAAACGATGCTGAACATCGATTTCATCACATCGGTGGTTATGAGACTGATAGATACCCTATATACATATTATTTCGTTATATCAGTTTATGAATGCAAATTTGTAGTAGAGAAACTATTTTAATCAACTTTTTACCCAAAAATACTTTATTTTTTCAGCAAGCAATATTTAACTTTTTTTAAGCTCTAACAAAACTGTAAGTTTCTTTTCAAACGACTTCAGAATTCATGCATACCCGACAATCTGATATGGGATTACAGGGCATCGAAACCACGAAGAGCAATTATGATATCGGGCATGATTTTGTGGGCAATTGGCTTTAATGGCTACCAGGGCAGTCCAAGCCAAGTGCTGTCGCCAACAGCAACAGCCAGCAACGGGCTTTGTGTTGTGAGCTTTATGTGTGTGTGTGTGTGTTCCGGCCATCCATTCCCGTTCCCGTTCCCATTCTTTACCAAACACTAACCGCTGGTCTATATGTACGTGTGAAATTTATTTAAATGCTGCCAAAAGGCAACAGCAACAGCAGGATCTGAGAGACTCGGAATGTACAGAATCTGGAGCTGGAACTGACGATTCAGCCGGAGTTGGAGTCACAGTCGAAGGAGATACTCGACTGTCCTCCGCCTTTTTTGGGGGCTAAAGTGTCGTCCTGGCTGTGTGTTATTAGCGGCCGGCTGGGTCCTTGCCAGCTAGCTGGGCCTCGACTCGACTCCGATGCCTATCAGGAACAGGAGCTAAACGGAGAGAAAATATCATCAGAAGAAGTCGTTAATTTGAGTGGGTTTCATGGGTATATAACTTACCTGGGACATAGTGAATCTTAATGTTAACTGATTAAAAATAAAACATTAAGGTGTTATAAATTATATTAATAGTTTGTCTAATATATATTTCAGAAATTCTATCATCAAACTATCCTGTTTTACACATTTTAAAAACTAATTTATGATTTTGCTCCATCGTTATTTTTAATAGATTATAATTATAATTTTAATGGTTATCAGAAATAATCCTAAAAAATATTTAAATAGTAATAAAATGATTTCTTTAAGGCTTTTAATTTCTTATTCAGCCAACATATCAAGTTGACAATTTGAAAACTCATTTCTTAGACAGTTTTCCTCTGTGTATACTCAAAGGGAACCAATGTGGCCAGCATCCCTTCCATTTCCCATGTCCTTTCACTACTCTTGATTTTTGTGTTCTTTTATTTTGTTGTTGGCGGCTGCAATTTATTTTTATATTGCCTTACATGATAATCGTTTGCATTAAAAATCGGCCGGCGTTGTCTGGCCGTCTGGCAGTTGCCTTTGCCAAAATGTCCTTGTTTGTATTTATTTATTATTCAAAGTGTTATCGGTGACAGAGCAGTGGTGGCAAACTGGCAGAGTGGCAGAGGCTGTGGGGGCGGATCCCGGATCCACATCCGGAGGCCTGGCAGCCGAAAACCCAAAGGATTAGTTATGATAAATGTGTTTTATAAGCGTGACACACACACCGTGGTGGGGGTAAGGCCTAGCGTAGAGAAAAGGCAAACAAGCAAAGCGGGTCATGTCCCATTTTAATGCACAGATAATGAGTTCCTTTGTTGGCAATATGTCAAATCGCTAGGCCAATATTTCAGACCCGAAAGGATTGGGATTGGTATAGGGATTGCCATTTGCCGTTTAGTATTTACCATTTACCATTTAGCATTTCCCATTTTCCGTTTTCCATTTTCGGTGCTTTGTGTATGCGCGTTGAATCGTGTTAATTGCAAGCCGGCTCATGGCAACTACTGTATGAGATTAGTTTGGGCAAGATTATATAAATCAGTGGCATCAATTTTGATCAGTTACGCAAGACAAGCCGCAATACCACGACGACGGCTGATAAATTGTGAGTGCGGCAAGGCTCGGAAGGAGAAATCAATTAAAAATACTTCAATGGCTCTTCAAGCCATTTTCTCCTTGTTGTGGTTGCTTCTGCTCCGGCTCCTTCCGTTGCCATAAGGACAGACCAATCATCCCAGGATAGGCATATCGAAATAATCGAAGCATATGCTACATTAACGTTTTGATTTGCGGTCGAAACTCTCGAAATTAATGCACCACTTTCACAGTCAGTAATTGATTGTTTGACTCTCTGAATACTATGTGCTTTTAAATATCTATTTGTGGTTCTTACTATATAATATCAATTTAAAATGGATGTGTTCTGGGTTAGTTTGAATTTTTAATATTGGTTTGAGGACTCTGAAGTTAGTTTTCGTTAATCCTCATTAACTTGTAAAAACTTGTACATTAAAGCCTTTTAGCTTACTCAACAAATCTTTAAGCTCTTCTTTACCATCAGTATAGAGTATAGAAAAACTTTTTGTGGCAGAACTATTGTTGATTCGATTATGGTTCGATGTGCTTTTAGTTTCCATTCACAACTGCCGAGATGGGAAAAATGCAATTATGTAAGTCAGCAAGCATAATCGATTAACGCTTGGCATTGATGTAGCTGCTGCTACTCCTGCTCCTGCCCTGCTCCTGCTGCTGTGCCTCCTGCTTTTCGTCCTTGCCCCATCATCATTATTGTCTCACTCTCCTATAAAATACAATTCCTCAATTGTTTTTGTGGGAAACTGGTTGCTGCGCATGAGTAAATGGGATTGTGATTGTGTGTTCTTGTTTATCAAGACCTATAGAGGTGCTTATAAATTCGATTAAATTACAGTGCCACACCCACTTGAGTAACCTTTCATGGAGCTGCTCTTCTCGTGGTAATACCAATTTAATCGCGTGCCCCGAACGCGTGACTTGCGATGTACCGGGGCTAATAAATATTTCACTTATTTCACGATTTTCACGCCTACCATTTGCTCTCTCTCACACTCACTCTGGCTGAGCGCCACCTGTGAGTGAATTGTAGCAAAACGTTTTCCCCATTTTTCTTGCCTGCTCGCACATTGTCAGCGCTTTGTGCTCTAAATGTGTGGAAAGGTGGGCGTGGCAGGAGGCAATAGTACGTATTCCATAGTCCGTACTCCAAACTCCCGGGTGCCAAAGTGCCAAGAGTGCCGGAGTGCCAAGTGCTGCCGGCGGCGGCGTCTCTCGAAATGAGTTGACACTTTGCATGTCAGTGTAATTTTGAAATATTAATCATATGGCATGTGCAGCTTTGGTGACGATGACTGCCGCCACCGAATGGGGCAATGTTTGCTTGGCATGGCATGAGCATGAGCTCTCGAAGGAATACGGGGGGTTGGGGGTACTGGAAAAAGGAGCTGGATCCACAGGATGATGATGAGGTCGAAACTATTGTTGCTGCTGCATATTACGTTACGGCACACACCAACTCGGAGTCCAAACCAGAACCATAACAAA